ATAATTTTATTTATAAATTATTTTAATAAGATCTCTAAAAAATAAGAACTCTTTTTTAAAAAGAACTTTTTTAGGGGTGCCTGGGTGGCTCAGTCGGTTGAGTGTCCGACTTCAGCTCAGGTCATGACCTCACAGCTCGTGAGTTCGAGCCCCGCGTTGGGCTCTGTTCTGACAGCTCAGAGCCTGGAGCCTGCTTCGGATTCTGTGTCTCCCTCTCTCTCTGCCCCTTACCCACTGGCATTCTGTCTCTGCCTCTCTCAAAAATAAATAAACATTAAAAAAAAATTTTTTTTAAGTTAATATTCTTTAAAAAATAAATAAAAAGAACTTTTTAAAAAAGCAGAATCACAATAACTATAATCACAACTTAAAATTTTTATAATTTTAAAAATAAAGAATAATTCAATTTACTTAAACTAAAAACAAACAAAACACTTCACCCATTTCTCCCCCCCACCTCTCTGTTTTCTGTATCTATGAGATTGATTTTATTATTTACTTTTAGATTCTACATACAGGAGAGATCATGTTATTTATCTTTCTCTGACTTATTTCACTAGGATAATGCCCTCAAGGTCCATCCATGTTGTCACAAATGACAAGATGTTCATTCTTTTTTATGGCTAAATAACATTCCTCTCTCTATATATACAGCATGTTTTCTTTATCCATTCACCCACTGATGGAAACTTAAGTTGTTTCCATATCTTGGCTATTATAAATAATGCTGCAACGAATAAGGTTTATCTTCCCATGTTAATGTTTCTGTTTTCTTCCACTTACTATCCAGGAGTAGAACTGCTGAATCATGTCATAGTTCTATTTGTAATTTTTTAAAGAAATCCATACTGTTTTCCCTAGTGGCTGGACATATTTACATTCCACCAATAGTGCCCAAGCGTTCTCTTTTCTTCACATCCTCGCCAACACTTGTTTCTAGCCATTCTAATAGGTAGGAAGTATTATCTCATCTCATGATAAGTTTTGGTATTTCCCTGATAATTAACGATACAGAACATCTCTTCATGTACCTATTGGCCAACTCTGTGTCTTCTTTGGAAAAATGTTTATTCAGATCTTTGACCAATTTTTTAATTGGATTGTCTGTAAGGTTTTCTTTTTAATCTATTGAGTTGCAGGAGTTCTTTATATATTTTGGACATTAGCCCCTTATGAGACATGATTTGCAAACACTTGCTCCCATTTGGTAGGTTGCCTTTTTATTTTGCTGATGGTTTTCTTTGCTGGACAGAAGCCTTTTAGTTTGATGTAGTCTAATGTCTCTTTTTGCTCTTGTTGCATTTGCTCTTGCTGTCAGATTTAAAAAAATCATTGCTAAGACCTATGTCAAGGAGCTTACTGCCTATGTTTTCTTCTAGGAGTTTCAGGTCTTAGGCTTAACTCTTCAATTCATTTAAATTAATTTTTGTCTATGGTGTAGAATAGTGGTCCAGGTTCATTCATTTGTATGGGGCTGTCCAATTTCCCCAACACCATTTATTGAAGAGACAGTCCTTTCCTAGCTATATATTCTTGGCTCCTTTGTCGTAAGCTAATTGACCATATATGAATGAGTTTATTTCTGGGCTCTGCA